TGTAAACATTAACAACAATCTATAAACTTATGGCATCTTCCGAACTTATAAAATAATCAATTTTTTTTTCTATTAATAACTAATCCAATTATTATTATTATTATTATTATTATTATTATTATTATTTTGGTCCCACCACATATGCTATAAAAATTACACGAAAAAGTATAAGATTTTCCAAACAAACAAATCCCGAACACCCCTGGCCCTTACATATTCTCTCGTCTTATTAGGATTCGTTGGTGCAACCCATTATGCACCGACCGGGCTAGACCTAGGGTTTACGACCGGGTGGAATAAAATGTATAGTATATAGTTATGAATTGAATAATATGTGTAATGTACTATAAAATACAATCAGTTTGTATTACTCTTTCTTCTTTATAGATTTTCTTACCTCGTCACAAGTCACAACCATTAAATTGTTTTTTCCTCTTAATCCTAACATTTGGTAAACTAAATTTACAATACTGGAACCTATCGTTACATACAATTAAAATGCATCTACAGTTACATTTCAATTCTTTTAAGAGTTTTGATTTCTCTTAACATTAAAATGTATGTAGTCATGGAGTTGAAGACAAGATTCGACTAAGTAACTGAATGTCCGAATTCCACGACAAAAAGCGGTGTTGCTTTGGCCAGCTTTAACTGGGACCCACACTCCCATTTCTGAGAAGACGGGTCGCTTTATTGCATCCAACCAATGCAAGTATACAAAAGAAACTGCAACCACATATTCGCTTAATCGCTTCTACATATTAGCCCAATAGTTGGACCCATTAGCCATCATGGACCAGATTTGACAAATACGGATAATCAATATTCCATATTCAATAATCAATACTGAATACGATGCATGCACCCCCACCACAATAATTCTATACTATTTCTCTCATCAACCAATTACCAATTCCTCACCACCAAACTTCTAGTACATATGTTTTTATCAACTTCTATATAGATGTATAAGTTTTTTATTTCTAGAAAGAGAGACTAATGTCTTGCTTGATATATGGGTCGATCGATAGGAGCTTTTATAATTAATAATGAAACCACTTAAAATATGCATAAAAAAATCTAATGTCCACAATCGACTGGAATAACTATTAATGGATGAAATCATAAATGGTAAATATGGTACAGGTTTTCAGTGCGTAGAGAAGACAATATAAATAAAAACAGACTTTTTAAATTTATGTCTACGTTGAATATTAAAATCATAATTAATTTATTTGGTATTGTTTATGGGGTCACGAGAATGCATTCCGAGTAGGAATTATGACGTTTTCATATAGAGACAAGATTAGATTTCTTTTTCTTCGTAGTTTTGATGAAATATATGTAACTTTATGTTAGTTTCAAAATTCGTTTGAATTTTTTTATTTTATTTATTATTATTTATTTATTTTTTTTGACACAAAGTATCACATTTGATCGAAAAGATATCGTGAGAAGGTTTATACTATATGCAACTTAATATTAAGGCCTATGTTTTTATTTTTCGAAATTTGAAGGTCTATACTTTAACACATGAGAGGTAAATAACATAACAATATAGATTCATGGAACAATCCCTGAGATAAAACTTGGGTCTTGTAATAGAATATTACTCCCAACTCACATCACGGAAACTACTTTTAAAATATAGATAGGAAATAATTTTCGTTCTTGTTCTGGAAATTGTGTTAATAAACTAAAAGAAGAGTTTGAGAAATTTCTTAGCACCTAATGAATTGTTGAAGCGCTGCATAGTACTTACTTAAAGTTCAGGGGCAACCATGGAAATATCGACGGTAAATATAAAATGCCTGTTGAAATTAGAAAATGTAATTCTTTATCATTTTTCACTCACGGATTGAACGAGAGTAGTAGATTTGATTTTGTAGCAACAACCCTTGTGAGCCTAATAATGAAAGTGATGCCCTGGAGTTGTGTCAACACTTAAAAAACATCTCGTATGTAAATTAAACATGTAGATTCAAATCCTATTAACTATTTTCAAAAAAATAATTAAAAAATTGCCAAATTAGTAAAACAAAATCATCAATTTTATCAAGATCGGGATCCTACCTAGGATTGTTTTTGGGTTTGCAAGATCGGGATCGAGATCCTAAAATCCCACAAAATAGAGTATAATTTTAATTTATAATATTTAATCATAAAAAATATTTCAAACATTTAATTTTTCGTTCAAAAGTTATAAAAACTTCAAAATATTAGTCATAAGTTACAATAAAAAATGATAAATGGTAGATTGGTAAAGGGTAAAAGACATAAAATGGTAACAAAAAATTCATTTGCAAAAAAAAAAAGAAAGGTAGGATCGGATCAGATCTCAATCCTACGATCTTACGATCCTACCACGAATACGATGTTTTTACGATCCGGATCGTTTTACATACGTAGGATCGTACGATCGTACGATCAGAATCGCGATTTTGACAACTATATATATATATATATATATATATATATATATATATATATATATATATATATATATATATATATATCTTTACTATCTTATAAAAGAAATCTAACTATTTCTAAAAATAGATTGATTATAATAATAATATTTTTTTAAGACGTCCAAATGATGAAGCTGATAGTACAAGTAATCATTAATAAATTAATATTAAATTTTAACCATATTTTGAATTCAAATATTTATCATCAAATCTCCTTATATTTCTCAACAATTTGATATGGTTTCCTCAAATCTCGGATTCATTCAAATTTTGAACCCTTTTAGATATCCTTAAATTTAGCATGTTGATTCAAATATCCCTCCAATCGCATATACTTCTTTGCTCCCTCCTCTACTATAAAGTCCACTGTCCAGGAACAAAAAATGACTTCATTTCTCAAATAACACCATAGTTTGATTATTTTGTCTTCGACGTGTACTTTCTTTTGTAACATAACATTTTTGTAGAGGAAACATATCACTAAAAGAATTTACACGCCCCGCCGCTTTGCGCGGGTGCACTGCTATATATATATATATATATATATATATATATATATATATATATATATATATATATATATATATATTAAAAGAATCGAAAAACATTTCAGTGGGGAAATTTTCTAAAATGACATCTATGAATTCCTCTATACTTCATCTACAAAATCATTTGAGAAAACATATTTCTCGAATGTCATATGCGTGATGGATTTTTAGATGTCATCTACGATTTTGTTGATGACATCTTCGATTTCGCAAATGAAATCTACAAATTTACAAATGTCATTTATGAAAAAATTTATATTTTGTCATGCATACTGCGAAATCTAACATTTATACTGCAAAATTCGGCATCCGCATTGTGAAATTCGACACCATACTACAAAATCTAACATCCGCACAGTGAATTTAAGAGTAAAAGTAATGGTTATTTTTTAAGAAGTACTATGGGTGTAGGGGTGTAACTGAGTCGAACCAGCTCGTGAGATACTCAGAAATGACTTGGAAAATACTCGAAATCGACTTAGTTCAAGTCGAGTCGAGCGCTCGGGCTATTCAAGTATATTATCGAGTCGAGCTTAAGTCTTGAAATACTCGACTCGTGAGTTTAATCGAATTTAGCAATATTTATACTTTTACCTTTTATTTTATTTATATTTTACATAATCAAGCTAAGTTTAGTCAAGATCATGAACTTAATTGTATTTCCATTTCGATTTAATGTAGTTATATATGTTTAATAAATAGTCGAGTTGAGCTCGAGAGTGTCGATTACATTATCATGCTCGAGCTTGAGTTTGAAATTTAGGCTCGAGTTGAGTTTCGAGCTTGACAGTACTCGACTCGATTAGGCTTGTTTACACCCCTAAGACGTACTTTAAAAAAAATTAAGATGTTCTATACAAATTTATTAGTTCTTTCAGGAAAAAGAAACATGACTTTAAATTTTCTAGATAAGTATTTTGTTGTTGCTTTTATCAAGGGTGTGCAAAACTTAACCGATGCAGTTTGAACCAACTTACTAGATTAGATATCCAATTATAATTAGATTGGTTCAGTTTTGAAATTTCAAAATCCATTTTCATTGTATTGGTTTTTAAATTATCCTGAAAATTCAATGGATAACTGAACCGAACTTATCTAATGGTATGTGGTAGATTAGGGAGACTCATAGAGCTTCGTGCTTACGATTTTCAGTTTTAGTTTCAGGTACTTCCAATTGCAAAAGAGAAGAGCTCGGGATGACTGCATTGCACACACCAAGATGTTTTAGCATGTGATGTTTACTTTGATGTTTTGAAACTCTGATAACAATGTTTGAGATATCATAACTTATGTTTTGATGAAATGGGTTGATAACTATGGTTTTATTATTAAATTAAAATGAAAATTTTTGGATTGTATTTTAGGAATGTTACACAAGATTAATTAAAATTTAAAAAATAATCTATTAATCATCTTATCAAGAGACGAATGAGCAATCTAATCACCGTAGATTAATCACATAGATACACGCAATCATCTAATCACACATTGGGCTTACACTATTGATTAATTTGGTAATCAATAGGCTAATTCTATAATTTGTGAACGTTATTCGCAATCAGTTCAATCATCACTTTTTATATCGTTTTTGAACATCATGATTAACCAATATTAACCATTAACCAACACCACAACCGACAAAAAACCATTAACTATAACCAATATTAACCATATCTAATGGATACCAAAATGCATTAACCAATAGTAATTGTTATGAATTGGTTTTGTTCAATAACCGAATCAAATCGCCCTATACATATCCCTATTATTTAGTATTAACTAAATTTGAAACTTTTAAATCAATTATTTTTATTTCACGAGGGATTAGACTTGATGGTTAAAACGTCTGGTCCTAAATTATTGGTGCTACATATATCAAATATATCAAGTTTAGAAATTGTTATATCAACTAATAAGAAAATTTAATAAGAATTTAATGGTTTAATGTCAGATAAAAAAAAAAAAAAAGCAAAATAAAATATCCAGAAAAAAACTTTTACCATAACCACCCTTGGTGCATGCCACGCAAAACAACATCGTTATGGGCATTTGGAGCGTTTAAACCTGGGCCTTGCCATCTCTGCGTGCCTTTTAGTACGCCAACCGAAGATGATCTAATCACATGTGTCATTGTTTTTTCGTTTGAATCGGGCTTTAACTCATCGGCACATTGTTGCAACCATGTCTTTAATTGGGTGGTTGGAGTTATCAAATTGTTCATGCATCCATCGTCACCTAATGTTCTAATCCGTGTTGGCATTTTGCTGTTTCACTTTATACTGCGACTTGCAGTGAGTGTTTGAGTATGTAAAAGAAAAGAAAAGGATAATGACGTATGAATATATCATTCTTTTTTATTGTATGGTTAATTGGTGTATTTAATAAAGTTAAAAAAATAAAATCTTTGGAAAACAATGAAGAAGGCCCAGTATCCTGATCTTCTTTAAAAGCTTGTGAAAAACTAATATATTGCGGATGCCGTAATGGACGTATAATCCCGATTTTCTTTCCTAAAAAAGATTTGTTGCTGGATGGAATTGCAGTGATTATAAAATATTATCTTGGAATGAGATTAGATATCGTAGCTGGGGGACAATAATCCACGTGTATAACTATCATTTGCCATAACCGGATACCCTAGTGGGCCAAACTGTAGAATAATCCTGTGTGAAAAAGAAAACTAAGAACCAAACTTGGAGGTGGCTCAGCCACAAGATTTTGTGGTGGAGGGAAACTCCGACCACCACCACATGGCGTTGGCGTAGTCATTGATGCTAGACATTATGTTCGACCAAAAGGTCTCCCTCCTAACTCCTAGTTGGCAACTGCATATATCAACAAGATGTCTATTGTATTATTAATGTACAAGTCACAAATTTTAAAAAATTAAAATTACCAATTTTAATCGATGTGTTACAATGTCTTCCATAATTCTATCTTTAAACTAGAAAACTCAAGACCTTGTCTAAATAAAGGTCTAACAACTTATACTACAGTCATTACCAAACGGTTAAAAACTAATGTCTTATTACAAATCAAGAAAGACATCTCATTATTTTCATCAATAGTCTCGAAATTGAGTTTGATGTTTTGCTTTATAGTTTGGATTCAAATTGTTTGATACTATAATTAGAAATTTAGAAGTCATTGATTCGGCTATATAGCTTATAATATACCTATTACCAGGTCTAGTAAGAAGTTGTCTCCAATTCTAATTCAATTGGACATTGATTCAATAAAAAACTATCAAAAAGCATCTAAGACTTCGTAAAAATGCAAAAGGTTTTACGAGTTGAGTAGATAACCTAATATAATAGTTTTAATTTGTAGTTGGTAAGATATCCAATATATCTAAAAAACTGACCATGATGTAATATTTTCCTCCTAATGTCCAAACAAAAGCCTATTAAAAGTGAATTAAAAAAGGTAACATATACGACTAGTCGTCTACTCGATCTATTACTAACGTCCTTATATAACCCATAACACTCGATATCATCATCACCTTATCCTACCTCCCATATCTTAATTTGAAACCATGGCTGCTTATGCCAAGAACACCAATAGGGTTACGCTTGCAATGGAGAGAACTGGACAATGGTAATCATCCACAACTCAAGTTACACATCATCCTGAAACGGTGTTGTTAATTGTTCTTTGTCTGAGATTTTCGAAAAACTCATTGTTGTTTTCTTTGATCTGTATTTTAATCAGGGTTTTCTCTCAAGATATCCCAACTGATATTCTTATACAAGTTGGTGAAGCAAAGTTTCCTCTTCACAAGGTATGATAAATCGATAATGGAAGAAATTTTGGAAATGAATTTTGTCAATTAGTCAGTAGTGATTATTTGATCTAATCGTGTATTGTTATGACAGTTCATGTTAGTAGCAAAGAGCAATTACATAAGAAGATTAATACTAGAATCAAAAGAACCTGATTTGGCAAAGCTAGACCTCTCGAGTATCCCTGGAGGAGCTGAGATCTTTGAGAAGGCAGCAAAGTTTTGCTATGGTGTCAATTTCGAAATTACTGTACATAACGTAGCAGCTCTCCGCTGTGCTGCAGAGTATCTCGACATGACAGATCAGTACTGTGACGGCAACCTTGCCGGCCGGACGGACGATTTCCTTCTTCAGGTAGCCCTAACGAGCCTCTCCGGCGCCGTCGTCGTCTTAAAATCATGTGAAGATCTTCTTCCCATAGCTGAACAGATCAACATTGTCCAACGATGTGTTGAAGTGGCTAGTGCTAAGGTAACAAAATTGCAATCAACGTGTTTCTGCATCTTCATCATTTTGAAAAATTCTGACAATTAGGAACTGGTTTCTTAATCGATCAGTAGATCGTGAACAATATATCTGAATGAATAATCCATTTGCAGGCGTGTAACGAAGCAAATTTTCCGAGCCGTTCGCCGCCGAATTGGTGGACAGAAGAGCTATCAATCGTCCACATACACTTCTTCGAGAAAATAATCGCTTCGATGAAATCACGAGGCGCAAAAGCACTCACAATTGCTAGCGCTATCATAACCTACACCGAGAGAGCGTTACCGGGCCTCGTCCGCGACCACTCCGGTAACACCATAAAATCTTCGATCTCCATCGACTCCGCCTCCAGAAACAAACAAAGAGAGCTCCTAGAGTCAGTCGTCGCTCTACTCCCCATCGAAAATCAACGAGCGTCTTTTCCGATTAACTTCCTTTGTTGCCTCCTCCGAACGGCGATCTTCCTCGAAAACGATGATGTTTGCAAGAAGCATCTGGAGAAACGGATATCAGCGATGTTAGAGCATGTCACCATCGATGATCTGCTTGTGCTGTCATACACTTTCGACGGAGAGAGATTGTTTGATTTGGAGAGCGTACGGAGGATCATTTCTGGATTCGTGGAGAAGGAGAAGAGTGTGTCTGTGTTCAACGGCGGTGATTTCAGAGAAGTCTCGTCGACGGCGATGCTTAGGGTTGCAAAGACCATTGATGCGTACCTCGGTGAAATCGCGATGGTTGATGAGTTGACCATTTCAAAGTTCAACGGAATTGCCAATTTGGTACCAAAAAATTCACGGAAATTTGATGATGATCTTTACCGCGCAATTGATATATACCTCAAGGTATTCTTACTATTAATTTTTTTTTTTTCAAAATACAGAAATTATATAAAATATTTATATTTAGAAATGAAATATAAAAGTTGATCTTTTTGCCTATGCCAATTAGTAATTATTCAACATTTACATTCAGGCTCATCCAACTTTAGACGAAATTGAACGTGAGAAAGTTTGTAGCGCAATGGACCCACTAAAACTCTCCTACGAAGCACGAGTACACGCGTCGCAAAATAAAAGATTACCCGTACAAATAGTGTTGCATGCGCTTTATTTTGATCAGCTACAGATACGAAGTGGTACAGATGAGAAGAAGACACCCGATGCTTTAAGCATGAGATCTCAAGTACAAGCAGACGTTTCATTGGCTAAAGAAAATGAAGCATTGAGATCCGAATTGTTGCAAATGAAGGCTTATATAACTGATATACAACACAAGAATCAAGTGGGATCAACGTCTTCTAGAATTGGTAATGCAAAGAAGCATAAATTCTTCTCGTCGATGTCTAAGACATTGGGGAAGTTGAATCCGTTCAAAAACGGTTCAAAGGACACTTCTAATATTGATGATGTCAACGACATTGACCTTACAAAGCCTAGGAGGAGACGGTTTTCCATCTCCTAGACTTGAAAACCTTTTCGAATACTGATGAATTAGATTAGCCGGTGTGAAGTGTGATTTTTTTCCTTTCATTTATTTTTTATGTTGTATGTATACAAGAGCGAGTCCCCCAAGTGTGTATGTAGAAAATTAAAGATTTCTTTCGTCCTAAATGTTGGTTCTAAGAATCGTACCAAATTATATATTTGTTTATTTTATGTAGTGCCAATGTTTGATGAAAACAAAATGAAAAATAGATATATGTATATGTTGGATTATAAAAAAAAAAAAAAAAAAAACAAATTTTAAAATAAGCCAATTCAAATGTTGGTTCTAAGAATCGTAACAAATTATATATCGGTTTATTTTATGCAATGCAGATGTTTTATGAATACAATATCTGTTCACAGTCAGAAAAAATCGATTTGTTTATGTTTTATTTAAAATCAAAATATCATTTTTAAGAATAAAATTACGGAATTTGTTTCAAAAAATATGATAAGTATATTATCAAAGCATTTTTGAAGAAATGTATTTTCATTATATTAAAAACGTTGGGATGTCATCGTCAATACAATACATAAGCATAAACATAAATATTTCAGGCCTTACAAACATATATTATTCTAATGGTCTATAATTCATAGATCTCTCATCTGATTATCACACATGTACTCTTTTACCACTACCTGTAATACAAGAAACTGAGTGGGTCCGAATTGAAAGCATGATGAGCACGGAGGGTTTTCAACCCACAATAATTAAATTCTTTATTTTCATCAAATCATTCAACCCGATTATCCGTTCCCGTTATCCTCACTTTCTGTCCCTAAAGTATCTAATTTAAGGGATCTATCCTAAGGATTATCATCGGGAAGATAATACTGTTTAGGGGATATCTCAGCAATATATGTCAGTAAGGCAACCATGAGGAGGATGGAGTATACCGGATGAATCAAGTAAAACATATATATAAATCGTTCATCTAACATATATATCAATAACACATATAATAGGCACAGATAGCACGCAATTTATATTAAATATTTCATATTTATGTGTAAGATGAAAGTAACTATTCACTCGCTTGTTAAAGTGGCGACTTGAAATTCAGGTAGCGCTTCGCTTCTAACAATTGTCTTTTCCTTTAACGAAACCTAGTATTACTACAACTAAGTTTTAGTCTCATATTTATTGTGACTAATTATAAATGTAGATGTAACGACACAATTTTTCAAATAAAATTTTCATTTTTAATTAGTCAAACATTCCTATAAAAAGTGGAGTAACATTAACCACTGTTTCCAAAATTCATAACATTATCATTTATTCAAAACATTAGAGTGTCCCATCAAAACAAATGCCAGAGAGTGTACGTCGCGCCATCAAGCCTTGCCCTTGACCTTAGGCACCGAAGTACCTGAAACAAATCAACAAATTGTAAGCTAATGCTTAGTGAGTTCCCCAGAGCATACCCCACACACGCAGTCTGCATAATCACATATCATATTAGCCACGAAGCTACATATATCACATAAGCTATGCATATAACATATAGGGATGTCGTGGGCTCGTCCCCATGGTCTTACTCCAGGATGCCATGGGCTCCCCACATGGTCTTACACCTAAGTGACATGGACTCTCCCATGGTCTTTAATAGGAAAGCCATAGGCTCTCCGCATGGTCTTACATCATGTTGACATGGGCTCTCCACATGGTCTTACATCCAAGTGTCATGGGCTCTCCCATGGTCTTCCATACAAGCATACCACATATACAACTAGCATACAATCCTAGCACATAATCAACTATCATGTCTCATAATATAACTTCAGCTTGAATAACACATATCATAAAATAGGTGGGCCTTGGTGCCTTCCACCCATTGGTATGGTGAAGAGACTCACCTCTCATGAATGTTAAACTAACAAGCTAAAATCGGATAAATCCCACATGCTACTCCAACTCAACAACCTATAATCATAATGTAACTAACTTATCACAATCCCTAATTACCATAATCATCCCCAAGTCAACCCTGGTCAATGTCATGGTCAACAGTCAAGGCCAATAGTCCATGTTGACCTCAACTCGCCGAGTGCATCCATCAACTCGTCGAGTTCCTCCCGAGTTCATTCCACTGAATCCCGATTCAACTCGCCGAGTCACCTTAATGACTCGTCGAGTTCATCAAATGTCCAAAAAACCTAAAGTCCATTCAGATCAAAACCCTAATCCTTCACTTCACTCAATCAGAAACTCAAAAACTGGCAAACCTTACCCCGACTAGTCGAGTCAACTAAAGGACTCAACGAGTTCCTCCAGCCACTTTTATGTTCATCCCTTTTTAGTGGAATATAAGGTCCCAAACTTTAGATCTAACCTCCCCTAGTGCAGATACTACGTAAAGTTGCAAACTTTACGTGCATGCAAAGTCATCCAAGGTCATAACATCAAAACTAAGCTTCATATAAGGTTTTAGTGCATCGAAAGGGCCTAAGATGGATAAAGTGAGCAACTTTATGGCATTGGGGACCTAGAGAATTCCAGATCTGAAACCATATCCTTATGATAAGTCCAGTTCCGAGTATGACCTTATTTTGCACCCAAAAGTGACCATATCCTTCCATGAAATGAGACCTAAGCAAATAGAGATCAATGTGGTAACTTTTTGCCTCTAAATGAATGCTCACAGCTAGTAGATGCTGGATCCCAAGACTTCTCCTCTCTTCAAGCTCCTCAACCTTCAAATTTCTCCCTCAAAAGCACAAGTTCTACTCTCTAAGACTCACACACACACACACACACACACTCAAGGAAGCTCAAATATGCGGCTAGGGTTTCATTCTGGGCTGTAAAGACGATGGGGGAGGCTACAAATGAGCCTTAAATCCTTTAAATAGGGTACAAACCCATGAAAATCAGGGTTTCTCTCTACAGAGACTACTCTTCGAGTCGAGGCCTTCCGACTCGTCGGGTAGGATTCAAATCTCGCGTCCACCTAATAGTCCCTACCTGACGAGTCAGAGCCCTCCAAATCGCCAAGTCATCATTTAACATGTAAGAGCCAGTTACCGATGGGTAATATTTGAACAAAACATGTAGTTTGTTGGTGTTTTTTGTACAAAAAGTTTACTTGGATGGTGTTTTTTGAACAATTTTGAAACATAGTTACCCATTTGAGTCATTTCCTCTTGTTTTTTTTTCCTTTACTTAATTTTTTGCGGTAATTGTTGGTTACCATAAGGTCAAATTTGAATAAAAAAATGTATTTCGTTGGTGTTTTTTGTACAAATACTTTACTTGGATGATGTTTTTTTGACACACCAAACTTGAATGGAATTTTTTAAACGATTTTGAAACGTAGTTACTCATATAATTCATTTTCCCGATTATTTTTTCAAACTAATGAGTGTTTAATATGCTTTTTGGGTTTCACGTACTATCACGATTTTTATAAAGTAAATAAACAAATCACGTGTATATATATATATATATATATATATATATATATATATATATATATATATATATATATATATATATATATATATAGGAAGGATCATTTGAGAACTCAAAGTTTCCCGAGAACCAGAGAACTAAATAATAACCGTTAGATTAAAATAATAAAGGGTTAGGATGCTTCGTGGCACTTTCGTAAATATCTGAAAATAAAATGGGGAGGGGGTATCTTATTAAAATAAATCAGGGACATTTTAGGGACATTTAATCACGTCAACTCTCTCTATCTATCTATCTACCCTTTATCACACCTCCGATTCAAATCCTGAAATCGTCATCGAAGTGTGACAGGATGTAAGTATAGTTCATCGGAACATCTACAATGAAGCATTAGGTTGGTCGTTTTCTTCTGAATATGATCTTGACTTGTCGATTTGGAAAAGATATTCCTATCGAATGTCTAGATAGAGTGGAATTGATAATCTATAATGAAGCATTAGGTCGTTAGTGAAATCTCGAGTTCATTGAATTGCTTGAAATGTATCCATTTCCGGCGAATGATTGCCCGACCCCGCGGTCAAGAACTTATGGTTTTGAAGCTTGATTTGTGCGCAAGGTTTTCAATAGATGGATTACTCCAAATCGGTTAGCGGTGTAACAATTTGAGAATGTTGTATCTACAAGAGAACTTAATCGTCGAAAAGGACGGTGAATGGTTACATGAGCTAGCTTTACGTAACACAGCCATGGAATCGTTAAACTTCTACATGAAAGATCTGGTTACTATCAGTGAAAATCAGCGAATGCGACCTCACAGACCTTTCCGATTTCTTCAACCACGCAGTGAATTTAAAAGAATTCGACGGTGGCGCTTTCAGCGATCAACCTAAAAACTACGCCGGACTTAAATTTCCTCCTCTTTTAACTTCTATGGAGTTGAATTACATAAGCCAACCCGAAATCCCAGTAATCATCCCATTCGTTTCCCAATTAACAAAACTCGATCTTCTTTACGCTCTATTGACAATTGTATGTCATTCTTTCCCTTAATCTTCTTGTTTAGGACTGTGAAACGATTAGGGATACCTGATGAGAGGATTATTCTTATGTTAGCAGATGACATGGCTTGCAATTCCCGAAACAAATACCCTGCACAAGTTTTCAACAATGAAAAGCATAGGCTTAACTTGTATGGAGATAATGTTGAGGTCAAATTTTGTGTCCAATTAATTTCTACAACCCTTTACTTATTTACATAAGTGTTTTTTTTAGAGAAGATGTGATGATTTTAGTACACTGTTATGTGAGGTAGACTATCAAGGCTATGAAGTGACAGTTGAGAACTTTTTGAGAGTTTTAACAGGTCGCCATGAAAATGTTGTTCCAAGATCCAAACGTCTTTTGAGTGATGAAGGAATCCATATATTGTTATACATGACAGGACATGGAGGAGACGAGTTTCTGAAATTTCAAGACTCTGATGAACTTCAGAGTCATGATTTGGCTGATGTAGTCAAACAGATGAAAGAAAAGCGTAGGTCAGAACCCATTTTTAATGCTATCTCATCTGTCATTGGTTGTGGAATTATGACTTACTTGTTCTCTTATGTGTTCATGTTTTTAGGTTCAAGTAACTGCTGATTATGATAGATACATGTCAAGCTGTTATCCTCTTTTCCTAGGTCTGGATCCTTTTCTTACCTAAAGCATTGAAATAATGAAAACATAAATTTATTGAGAATCCTAAAATAGTGTGTATATTTTCTTTATTTTCAGCTCCATTCACCTGGTGTTTTGGCTATTGGGAATAATATGAAAAGGGAAAACTCATATTCACATCAGTTAGATTCTGATGTGAGTATTATCTGGATTCTATCAACCTTAAAATTTTGTAATTTGATATACAGGAATACTCCATGATTTCTTTTGCTTCTCTTGCTAATTATGTAGAGATTATTGTGATACATATAGGTTGGTGTCTCTGTTGTGGATCGATTCACATTTTATATGTTAGCTTTCTTTGAGAGGCTCAATATGTATGACAATGCATCAATAATCAGATATAAAAAACGTTTCCATTTTGAAAAACCTATTAAAGTTTTCTCGTCCTATTTGACTTCATTTTTCTTTGTTGTTTTGCAGTCTGTTTGGCTCATTTAATCTAAATTTACTGCCGTCAACTGCATATTATCAAATAGATTTATACCAACAAGAATTGAAGAAGGTATGTCACTTGTCGATATATGCCATTTTTCATGACATTTCACCCTTCCTAAAAAGGGAATTTCTGTTTTTAAGGTCTAGGCATTCATACCACTGTTTCTTTCTAGACTAAATTACAAAAGTAGTCCTTATGGTATATTGGTTTCAATGGATATGTTGTATTACTTTCAACTGTAGTTTGATACATGTCATTTATAATAGTGTGATTTGTTTTTTTTTTCTTGAACAACATGTTAGCGGCTTATTATTCTTGAAGTTGATTGTATGGAACTACAGATTATGGTGCTCTCCTTTATCACTGTGGATTTTACAAGGAATCCTTGAAATACCTACCCTTATATCAGGATTCACAGGTATACCCTACACCACCATATCAAATTGCTACAAAACCCCTTATATTTTCCCTCTTCTTTCCAAAAAAACACCATCTTGTCATTTGTTGACTTTTCCATGAATGCCACTTGGGATTTTAAATAATAGCTTTTCTAGAAGTTCATAAATCTCAAAAAACTTTCATTGAAAATTCTATGGAAAGTTAACAATTTATTTAAAGCCTTTTATAAAAAGTTACCAAATCTTAAATGACGCCATATCATGGAAATTTTTTAATTAATCTTTAAGATATTTTCTATTCCATCATTGATTTCTGATTCGGTGACCAATAAACTAATCCATTAGTATAATATATAAATGAAAATATAATTTTATTGAAGTATTTTGGTTGCAAACTTTACATATGAATTACATGTGACTCACATGTAATTTATATGTGATGTAAATCTCAAGTGAATCACATATGAATTACATGTGATTCAGATGTAAATAACATGTAATTCACATATGATTCACATGTGACTCACATTTTAATCACATGTAATTCATATATGATTCATTTGTGATTCACATGTAAATATGAATTATATGTGATTCACGTGTAAATCATAAGTAAATCACATATGAATTACATGTGATTCACGTGTAAATCACATATGAATTACATGTGGTTCACATGTAATTCAAATATGATTAATTTGTGATTCACATGTAAATTACAAGTGAATTACCTATGAATTACACGTGATTCACAAGTTAATCACATATGAATTATATGTGATTCACATATAAATCACATGTAATTCACATATTAATCACATGTAATTCACATGTAAATCACAAGTAAATCACATATCAATTACATGTGTTTCACATGTAAATCACAAGTGAATTACATGTGATTCACATATAAATCACAAATGAATCACATATGAATTACCTATATATGCACACATGCATTTTGTGTAAGTGTTCTTCGTTAATTAATTTTTAAAATTTTCTTATGAAATTTACATTTAAATCTTAAAAGATACAATTACATGTGAATATTACATTATATAATCGCATGTGAATATTACATTATATATACATGTGCGTGTTCTTGCATTAATCATTTTTTTTATTTTCTTATAGATTTTGAAGAATTTTTGGAAAATATTGAAGAAGTGAAAAGTGATAAATTGAAGAAAATATGGAAATATTGATATAAAAAAATTATAAGACTGTGAATCTTTGTAGTTTTTTTTATATTTTATTTTGTATCGAATAAAATATTTGTATTATGTTTATTGATTGATTAATAAAAATGAGATTTTTTATAATTTACTAATATTATAGTATAAGAAATATGCATATATGCATTTGAAAAAATATGCATATATGCACCTAAAACGTTGATTTTTTTGTTAAAAAAATGCAGTTTTGAAAAAAATTGCACTTTTTTTTTTAAATCGTAGTTTTTTTTTTTTTTTTTTGAAAAAAGTTCAGGTTTTTTTGAAAAAAAAAGTTTTTTTCTAGAAAAAAATAAAAAATGCAGTTTTATTAAAAAAAAATACAGTTTTTTTTTTAAATTACAGCTTTTTTAAATGCACTTTTTTTTTGAAAAAAAGATGCAATTTTTTAAAAAATATTTTTCTTTCATTTTTTTGAAAAAATTAAAAAATATCCATTTTTTAAAATAAAAAATTATTTAAAAAAAAATCAGAAATTTTGAGTTATTTTGTTATTTTTTAGACATTTATATTAATATATTAAATAAAACAAAAAAATTTAACATTAAATGAGATTGGTAAGATGACGATCATCTACTTAAAGAATTAATTTTGATTCAACGCTCCAATTTTAGTTCTCGGGTTCTCGCAAACTTTGAGTTATCAACCGATCTCGAACCCTATATATATATATATATATATATATATATATATATATATATATTCTTTTACTTTTTGTAACAAATTAAATTCAACTCAAAATTTGAATTTGAATATACACAATCATATCCTAATAACATTATTGTGTTTGTTTTACTTAACAAATTAATTCTTAATTACTTATAATTGATAATATCTTGAGTTTTTCTATATATTTATTATTTTTTTTTTATCTATATAGATTTTTTAAATATATTAACCGTAGTTTCAACGAGTTATAATATATATATATATATATATATATATATATATATATATATAAAATGTTGAATTGAATTAGAAAAATGTTATTTTATTTTTTCTAGGACAAACTTTGGTCAATATTTGAATCGAACAAAGAAGGTAATTATCTGAAAAAAAATAATAATAATTAGAATAAAATCAAATAATACCGGCATCCAAGTGTATCCCCACCCTCGCACACAGTAGTTTGTTGGAGTCAACAATACCAGTGTGCTTCAATTCCTCTCTCTCACACACACAAACATACACACTCACTACTGCGTGATTGTGTGTTCTTCCGATTTCTTCAAATTTAGACTAAGTTCTTGATGAATTTTGAGTATAAGTAATCTAATCCAGTTCAATCAACACATATACGTTGCATTTGAGCGTGTCAAATAAAATGTTGCTGAAGTTCTAGATGCTTGTTCATCTGTTTCACGTCAATTTCAAGTGAGCGAGTTCCGTTTTTCTCCTAAATTAACATCTCCTGTTTCTATATCGTCCGAACTTCGTAAGGAAAATGCTGATGGATTTTCTCTGAAGAATGTTCTCGACGCATTGGTTGGGGAATTAGAATTGCTTTAATAGTTTGAACCTCTAATGACGACTCGGAGCTCAACGTTCAAACATAAGATCTTCAGAAGCATTGTGCGTCTTAATGTTTAGAGGTGAGTTTCCATTGAAATTCTGGCGTGCGTGTAGTTTTGTTCGATGAAAAGTTCTTCTGCTTGTACGCTATTTACAGTTTAGATATATTAGGTTGAAATCTCGTTGTTTCGTTGGAGAGTTCATATAGTTATATATTACTGTTCATGTAATCATATATTAGTTAAATATGTGTTTGTTCGTGAATTTGTTTAGCGAAATTATCATGTACTTGCATGCCATTTGCAACTAGCCAAACTAGCATAAAATATGTATATTTCATAAACAATTAATGCATTCTGGTCAGAATTATTGTTCGTTCGATGTTTAGTTAGATGTAAAATTTTGTTCTGTTGAAAATTATCAGAATGAGATGATTGTTATGGTAATCTAATATTCCTAATTAAAGTTCATCGATTAAGACTGACTAATACATAGATAATCTGTTACTGTGGAACTTAACATATTGATTGCTTTGGTTATGGTGGATTAGCTGAATGAATTAATCTGTAACTTGTTCACATGTGCATGAAGATTTGCTAAACCAAATCGTTGTGTCTCTTCGCTTGAAGCATGGGAAATCCACAAAGTTCAGGACTGATGCAATAGAACTTTCTTGTTCCCTACAGAAATAGACAGATTTATGTTGCTATGATACAGAGATAACACGCTACAAGGAAACTTGCATTTGTATAGCCAATTAGATACATGCCTTTCCATTTATAGACAAATCATTTACAGCATTGATGTTATATTGGGTCTCTTTTCATAAATTCCTCTTTTTCTAGATAACTTACTGTCACTATTATCCAAATCTTCTTTTTGTGTGGCTGAACCAGGAAAGACACTCGACATGGATCACCACAAGCTTCATTTGTGTGAAAAAATCCTCATGAAACTCTGCTCCAGTCAACTATTTTTGCAAGTTTTTGTCATAGTTTCCCTTCTTCCTCTGGTGTTTGCTGACCTGAACTCAGATAAACAAGCTCTACAGGCTTTTGCAGCTGCTGTTCCACATGGTTCAAAGCTCCAATGGGACAATTCTACTAACATCTGCACATCATGGGTAGGCATTACATGTACACCTGATGCAACTCGTGTCCTTATTGTTAGACTTCCTGCAGTTGGACTTACAGGCCCCATACCATCCAACACTCTTGGAGAGCTTGATGCCTTGAGAGTTCTCAGCCTTCGATCGAATTTCTTGAATGGAAGTTTACCATCTGATCTCCTTTCCCTTCCTTCCCTCCGCTCTCTTTTCCTTCAACATAACAACTTCACTGGTAACATTCCAGACTTTCTTCCTCGCCGACTTCATATCCTTGATCTATCATACAATTTCTTTACTGGAAGCATTCCAGCAACTATCCAGTTTCTCTCACGCCTTACCGGATTATTCCTCCAAAACAACTCCCTCTCTGGTCCAATCCCAAATGTCACATTCCCAAAACTCAAACACTTCAACATAAGCAACAATCATCTCAACGGTTCTATCCCTTCATCCTTCAAAGCTTTACCAAGTGCATCGTTTCTGGGAAACCCTTTCTTGTGTGGTGTACCTCTCAAGTCGTGTTTACACCATCCTCCTTCCTCAAGGAAATTCAAATTCCCATTATGGGCTATTATAGCGATTGCAGCAGGAGGAGGCGTTACAGTTTTGGTTTTAGTTATTGTCTTTGTCCTCTGCTGCTGTCTTAAGAAAGAAAGTGGTGATATACGTAGGATTGAGAGAGGGAAGTCTTTCACTAACAGAAATGGTCAGAAGCCCAGTGAGGAATTTGGTAGTGGGGTGCTAGATACTGATAACAACAAGCTGGTTTTCTTTCAAGGCTCTTCTTATAACTTTGATCTTGAAGACTTGTTGCGTGCCTCTGCTGAGGTGCTCGGGAAGGGTAGTTTCGGAACAGCTTATAAAGCGGTCTTGGAGGAGTCAACCACTGTGGTTGTGAAAAGGTTGAAAGAAGTAGCAGCAGTCAAGAAAGACTTTGAACAGCAAATGGAGATAATAGAGAGAGTTAGTCATCACCATAATGTTGTCCCTGTTCGTGCTTACTTTTACTCAAAGGATGAGAAGCTTCTCGTGTATGACTATTTCTCTGGAGGTAGCTTAATGTCCCTCTTACATGGTAAGCATTTTGTTAAAAATCCAATCTTTTTTTTTTGTCTTTGTGAATTGTCATTACTAACTTACAATAAAACCGCATGCAGGAAACAGTGGTTCTGGGAGAATACCACTAGACTGGGAAACTAGAATCAAGATCGCCCTTGGAACTGCAAGAGGCGTTTCTCATATCCATTCTTTTGGAGGCCCAAAGTTCAGCCATGGAAACATAAAGTCTTCAAATGTTCTTATCAACCACGAAATGGATGGTGTGATTTCTGATATGGGGTTAGTCCCACTCATGAACTTCCATCCTGCACCACCATCATCCCATGCTGCTGGATACCGAGCTCCAGAAGTTGTTGAAACCCGAAAACACTCTCACAAATCAGACGTATACAGCTTCGGGATCCTCCTGCTTGAAATGTTAACCGGGAAACAGCCAGTTCAATCTCCAGGGAGAGGAGAGATGGTGGATCTGCCTAGGTGGGTTCAGTCAGTGGTGAGGGAAGAATGGACAGCTGAGGTTTTTGATATCCAGCTCATGAGATTTCATAACATTGAAGAGGAGATGATGCAGATGTTGCAGATTGGTTTGGCTTGTGTTGTCAAGTCACCTGATAGTCGACCCACCATCCATGAAGTTGTGAGAATGCTGGAGCAGATCCAGTTATACAACTTTGAAAACCGGCCTCCCTCCGAATAAATCAACCAAATCCAGAGATTCAGATGTGCAGAGTGCAGACTTCATCATTTCAGCTTTACACAGGTTAGTACGTATAAACTAGTTACTGAAGAAACTTAGGAAGAAAAACAAAACATATATTTCATTCTCTAATACTTAGATACTTACCCTATGCCTATCAGATTTGTTTGTGTACACGCATGGACTTGATTGAATAAGTTGCTTGCTTGCATTTACATCTGCTTAAAACAGTGAATTTGGTTCAATTTCCTCAATCTTTTTGGGTTTCTGTTTTTCACTATCTTTAAGCTCATACTCATACATGCATTTATGTTTTATACTACCTTAAACGGTAAATCAGTAAAATTTGAGGATAATCTCTAAAATCTCATAAAGTATACTTAAATGCTTCAACCTCCTGAAAGGTTTTATGTAAAAAAGTATATTCTTATCTTATTATCTTATAAGTATAGTTTGTATCAGCATATTTCATTGTTTAGTTTTATAAAGTACAAAAAGTGAAGGACAATTATTTTTTTCCGGCATCAATTAGACTTATTCAACTGTTTTGATCCGTATTTAAATTTATTTGTTATAAGGTATAACCTTAGACTGTAAGTGTTTGTTTTGACAGCTCTATTTAAAACCCTTTTTTTTATTCTACTTGGACAATTTTGATTTTTTTTTCTCTATATTTTTGGGATATATAATATATTGGATAAAAAATGTGATAGTTTTGAAACTAAGTTGATGATAACTCCTAATGTTGCCAAATCCTCGTATATGAAGTTGAAACTTAACTTGGAGATCCTCATTTCCACATCAAAAAGTAAAGCTCGACATCAACTTCACAAGATAACTCCACAAAAGCTTCTACGAGCTTACATAATACAGTAATACTTACATCATTATGCGGAATATTTTCTTCCAATAGCTAAACCATAGGTGACATGTCGCTTACCATATGCATTTATGTTTTATACCTTAAACGGTAAATGAGGTGCACAAACAAACCAAAAAAAAAAAAAAACGGACCTGCATGGAATTAGAAACCGGTTTGAGTGAAAACAATCTTACAGTTTTGGATTGGTTTGGCATATTTAAGGTTGGAAACAGTTTGCAAAAATGGATTAAAACCTGGTTTTCAAACCTAAAAAATACGATTTTATATAATATAAAAATGTCGTTTTCATCTACTATTTATTCAAATTATTGTTTATAAAAAGTTTTGTACCTGTTTTCACCCATTGTATTATCTTGTATACCCAAGAAACACGTTTCTAAAAACTAAAAGTAGAAAAATAGCATTTGAATTTGAACCCTAAAACAATCCGAAGACTAAGAAACTTGCCTATTTCTATTAGATATGTTTTGTTTTTGGTTTTTAGATTGAATGTATTGCAAATTCTGTTTTGTTATTTTTCAAAATCAAATATTATATAAAGTTTTTGGTTTTTTCAACGCGGTCTACATAAGCCAGTTCCTAATCCAACACTCTCCGTTTGGATACTTTTTGCTAGAAACCGGTTTGGCCGAAATCCGATCAAGATCTAGAAAAAATTCAGTTTGTTCACTTGGTATTTTACTTGGCCCAAAGCTTTCGCTTACTATCTTTTTTAGTTGTGCTTAAATTTTCTTTCAAGTTCTTACAAGCGGCCCAAAACATATATATGGCAAAATATAATAAAACCCCTTCAAGAGAGATATTTTTGCTTATATAAAAATACAAATTTTACCACATCAAAAAATTCACTAATCGTAAAAAATTAAAGTTTCTAGATTTAGGATCAATATCGACATTGTTCGGTAGAATTTCATATACGACTTTCTTAAACATCAAAATATCATATTTGTCCAACTTAATCGTATTTACCATTTATAAATATTCAAAATATAATATTTACCTAAATTTTCTTTTACAATGTCTTTAATAGTTTATAATCATTTCTTAGACTTATTATTTAAGAGTTTATTCTTACCTCTATAATAATGAAACATCTACTTTTAAATTATTGAAAGGTCACTTTCTTAACAAACAAATCATTTCATTTTAGCCTTTTCCATAGTGTATGCATTTATTATTTAATTTTGTTGTTGAATATTGTCATGTTGTAGATGATGGATATTTTAGATATTACTATTGATAGTTTCTTGTTTAAGAATAATATGTGTGTATATATATATATATATATATATATACACACACACACACACGCAAAGATAAAATAGTTTTTTTTTGTGAATAGTTTCTTATGGTGAAATAGTTATTATATTTGATTTTATTATTAATTATTATGTAATAATAAATTAATATTTTTTAATAAAAAATTTATGTTTATACCTTATATTTATATTATATGTTTATACTATTGATGTAAATTAATTAATATTTGTTTCTAGTTTAAGAAAAATATAAATAAATTTATATACATGAATTTAATATTTAAAAGTTTCATTTTCTCCAAATTTAATTTCTTAATTACTTTCCTTAATTTTAATATTCAAACTTTTGGTAAGTATTAATGATTTATTTATGCATAATTGATTTGTACACGAAGCTTTGTAACTTATACCTCTTAAAATTCAAGATATGATATATATATATATATATATATATATATATATATATATATATATATATATATATATATATATATGGTTAAGTTCAAATAAGAACACTATTTAATGTGAGAACGTGAGAACACTACTTTATGTTACTATTCTACTATGAATTTTGTATATGCAACGATATGACATTATTCATCAACAAATAGACGAATAATCACACATTAATATTCACATTAAAATTTTGTATGTATAACTTTATGACATTATTGATCACCGAATATATGAACAATCACATATTTAACATTCACATTAGAATTTATTAAATTACTACGCATATATATAAATTTTATAGTAAAATAGCAATATAAAATTAAATATATTCATATTATATTTACTACAATAGTATACATATTAAATTCATAGTAGAATAGTAACATAAATTACTGTTCTCACGTTCTCACATTAAATAGTGTTTTCATTTATATATATATATATATATATATATATATATATAGAGAGAGAGAGAGAGAGAGAGAGAGAGAAAAGTGAATATACCCTTAAGGGTAGGGCTGTAAACGAGCCGAGCCGAACCAAGCTCGAGCTCGACTCGTTTAATTTTGAGGAAGCTCGAGCTCGATTCGAGCCTTAAAATGAAGGAGCTTGGCTCGTGAAAAATTTAGTGGGCTTGCGAGCCTAATCGAGTCTAAACGAGCCTCTATGTGTGTGTGTGTATATGTATATATATATATATATATGTGTGTGTGTGTGTGTGTGTGTGTATGTATATATATATATGTGCGTGTGTGTGTCTATATATATATATATATATATATATATATATATATATATATATATATATATATATATATATATATATATATATCGTTTAAGCTTGTTTAGGCTCACGAGTCCATTAATTGAAGCTCGGCTCGAGCTCGTTTAATAAACGAGCCTCATGTTTAGGCTCGAGCTCGGCTCAGACTCGTTTAATTCGATCTCAAGTCGAGCTTTTAACTAGTCGATCCCGAATAGCTCACGAGTAGTTTGGCTCACTTACATCCCTACTCAAGGGTATATAATCTTAGATACCCAAACCCACCATAATACGTTATTTTGTTTGATGTGTTCATTATAATGTGTTTTATACTTCAATCCCTAACTTGATTTACTTTCAATATTTTCATTTTTTCACTATTACCCTTAAGGGTATATATATATATATATATATATATATATATATATATATATATATATATATATATATATATATATATTTTGATGTTTAAGAAATACATATACAATATTTTAAAATGAAGGGTAAAATAATATTTAAAAAATAAGTCGGATATATATAATACTTTAATTTTTAATAAAAGTATTTGAATTTCTATTCCCCGCAAATTAGATGACAACTTTTTGGAGAGTATCTCTAGCATGCTAATTTTTGATTTGTGAATAATATAGAATCAATCTTATAAAATGGTATTTTTCTAATCCACTAAATTAAAAACATACAAAACAACATATGATACAAATAAAGAAGCACAATGTGCAAGAGAAAAGAAAAAGATGGGAGCAACGAGTTAACGAACCTACTTGAAGCACCAAAGTTGCAATACCATGTGTGGAGGATTGGTTATCTTAGGGTACCTCCCCATCGTTCCCAATTATTTTTTAGCCGCTCGTGCACTCTTAGGGAAATCGAGTTTTAACTTAAGTAGTTATTTGCTTCCGCTCATTTGTGTGTTGGTTCCACTAAACACCATTTTTTCATATAACTCCATCTACCAAATACATTTTTAGTGAATATAATATTAGAAAAAAGGTTTTTGAATATCATAATAAACATAAAAACATGTAATATCGAGGTTAACAAGAAAGTTGTTTAGGTATAATCTAAGAAATCATTATCTCGATTTCAGACGAAATCAGATATACATAAAACAATACACTTGTTGATGTTTATGTTTTCGAAACAATAATTTTGTAGAGAAATTTTGTGTAAAAGATTCGTTCTGCCAAATCGAAATCGAATATGTAAAGACATTAGAAGTTAATATCTTTTGAAATGGAGGGGAAAATCATGTATACTCCCAAAAAACACGTTCGTTACATATGGAAACCATTAAAGTTTGAGGCGTTGGCATGCACCTTGTAAAGGCTCCTCCCTTGACATTGTTTGCTAATAGATACACTAACTTCTATGTCCCTTGCACCCCACTAGGGTGCCACTGTTGGAAGTTAGAACCCTAGTATGGGTAAGGCGTTGCCCTGAATCTAAGTGTTCTAAAGATCAAATCTATTTATGTGAGTGTGCATTTTGTATATTCCAAGCTTTCAATATAACTAAAATTGAGGTGTTACTTCTCTCAAAGTAATATTGATCATACTAAATGGTTTGATGACATTAGAATCACGACAAATAATATAACACGACATATGGTGTTCATATCTTTCTAGTTATTTTCTATATATAATGTATATTATTTATGTAAATGTGGTTATAAAATAGAATTTATTTATTTAATAAAATCTTTGTTTCAATAATATAGCAATTAATTTGTATTTATTATATACTAATTACTTACTTGGTTACAATTGTTTCTTCAAAGAGCGATTACCCCAATTTAAAATCAATTACATTTAAACCAAAACATATTATATCTTAAAATTTTCAAGTCAATTC